GTGCTCTATGAGTCACGCCGATAATAGCTACTCGATACCTACTGTCTATTAGCAAATCTGTGCTAAGGAAATTTTCCTTTATGATCGGAATCTCTGCGCCTGTATCCGTATAAAAAGTCGCCTTTCCGTTTTTTAACTGTGGTCCTCCTAGTTCGACCGATGGTGGCGTGTGCCTCGTTCTCGCGAGTTTTATAGTTATTTTGGGAAGCTGATCTATTACTTTGTCACTCTCTGAAAGCTTGGGTTCGTCATTCTCCATATGCGTGTCCGGCGCCTTTATTCGATAACTTTTTTGGCGGGCCCTTCTACCTTTTTTTGCGCATTTTCCTTTCCGCTGAGTAGGAGTATCTTCGCACTCTATTTTATTATGTTTTACTCTTCCCTGCCCTAAGTCAGTACTCGGGCTGTTGTAGTGCGTTTCCATCCCCACTATTTCTAGCTCCGCCTTCTGTGGCCTCGCACATTCTCCTTTGCCGGACACGCTTTTCTCCGCCTTTTTCTCTAGTTCATGTTCGACGTTTGGGGACCACGCCGAACATCTTGCGAGTTTAAAGCTGCGGGTGCGTCTCTCCTGTTGTCAGGGCCCGGCCGCATGCGCTGTTTTCTCGCTGCTGTGGGCCTCTATCCTGTGGTGGCCTCTTTCTAACTAGATCCCTATTACAGCCGTTCCTGCTGTCTTGCTTATTATAGTTGTTTCCATAACGATTGAATGTTTCCCCGTTGTTGTTATTATACGGGTCATCGTAGCCGCGGATGGTGTAATAATTACTGCCTGTGGGGTTGTAGTTATTATACCTGTTTTTGTGTTCACTCCTGTCATTGTAATTGTTGTTTCTATTATTGTAATTGTTATTTCCATTATTTAAATTATTTCCGTTATTGTAATTGTTATTTCCATTATTGTAAATATTTTTTCTGTTGTAGTTGTTATTATTCCTGTTATAAGAATTCCTTGGACTATTGTTATGGCCCCTGTTATAATTATTATCATTATAGTTGTGAGGATTATCATTTCCGTAACCGTAATTATAGGCATTTCTGTTGGTATTGGTGTTATCTACGGGTTGGTTATGCCCCTCGTTTTGCTGTTTTTTTTCTTTCTCCCTATCTTGTTTACTTGAGCGACAGTCTCTCGTATAGTGTCCCGGTCTCTGACAATAATTGCAGTTTCCCTTTGGTTCCCTCTCGTTATCACTTGGCTTTTTTCTGTCGTTTATCACCGCTAGCAGTTTTCGCCATTCCTCGACTAAATGCCCGGTTCGGCCGTCGCAGTATATACAGCGTTTTACATTTGTTGCTATTGCTCCTTGTGCCACATTAGTGATTTCTGTTGTTCTTTTTCCTATATTTGCCAGGTTTACTAGTTGCCCCCACTCGGTTGTTACTTTATTGTGTGGCAGTGCACTCACTGGTATTGCATACCGTAAGCTAAGGTCGCTCTCTATTTTCAGCACTTCTATAATTGCTTCGCAGAGGGTCTTCGGGTTTAAGCACATAATTTTTTTTACATCGGTAGGTTGGGTGCAAGCCATATGTAAATTGCTTTACTGCCTCTGCCCCTGCGCTTTCTTTCAGCACCTGCTCCTGAATAGGGAGTAGGCTTGGATTCGTATCATGCAGCATCGTCAGCCTGTTATACAATCCTTGTACTCTTCCGCCGTAGTCATTTATTGATTCCTGGTTTTGTTGTCTAATTATCTTTAGCTGTGCCATCAGCGTGTCCAAATTATTTATGCTCCCATATCTCCTCGAAAGTTCCCGAAGATATTCCTGAACTGTCCCAAATTGAGCCAGTCTGGGCGCGAAATGTTCAGCCGCTTTTTCCTTTAGTCTGCTCGCAAGAGTACCGAGAAAAAATAATTCATTTTCTGGGCCCACCCTTTCCGCAGCCATCCTTACCATCCTTTCGAATAGTGGTAGGTTGATTGGGACTCCATTAAAGAACGAAATGTTACTTGTCATAGGACTGAGCATGGACAAAATATTTGGTTGCGCGTTCTGCGGTCTGCGTGGGTGGTTATGGTTGTTTGTAGCCTGTATGTATTCTGCGTGTTGGGCCCTGGTAGGTGCTGTATCGCTCCATGTTCTATCTCTACTCACCTCAGGATCGACTCGATTTGCATAATTATTATTTGGCGGTGGTAATGCTGCTATAAATGCGGCTTCCTTTATTCTTTTAAGTTCATCGCTTATATCTTTTATTTTGTCCAGTAGCTGTTAATTATGTGAGTCGCTTATCCCGAGGGTTCCTGGCTCTTTATATTCGTAGCAGTTGGGCTCTGTGCTTATCAGCGGCGAATCTCAAATGATTCCTGTAGCAACGTTACGTGACGTGTCCGCTCTCTGAGCATGTTTTAGCCTAGCTTTCATCGTCGAGAACAGGCCCATTACTTTCGTTTCAGTATTTTCGTCTAGGGCGTCCAGTATCTTACACCCTTCCACTTCTATTTCTAGTTCCAGCATTTGTTGTCTTGTATTTGTTTGTTCTCCTGTTAACTATATTTTCTATCTCAGTTCTGTCGTCGTTTATTTCTTCCCCGTTGTTTACAACGTTGTAGTTAGTACCTCCGGAGAGTGGCACGTTTGCTGTATATGTAGCTTGGGTTTTCCTAAATGCCTCTATTTACTCACACGACACACTCGGGTCCTATTTGAAAAGCTCAGCTTGCCTTGAGTCAGTATATATACATATAGTATAGTGTGAACGCGTGGGTTTGTTATACCGGAAAAGATAATGCTGAGGATCCCTCTTACCAGCTCTCGCTACTTTATATCTTATGCGCGGGTCCTAATATTTGGTCCCTTTCACTTTCACCTAGCAGCGGAGTTTAAGAGAGAACAAACGGGCGAGAGAGTTTCCCTGCTTTCAGTGCTTGATCTGATTTATGACACTTATTCAGTCTCTTAGAACTCTGTTCCCTCTCCCCTTTGTTCTCTGCTGTTTCCTGTGTTCGACCGACTCGTTGAATCTTTGCGTTATGACTCACCTATATTTCCCCGAGTTCTAGAATTCTTTACCAAGTGAATCGTTTTTCCAACAGAAAATTTTACTAGTCCAATGCGTCCAAGTCTGTTATTTCGCGTGATTTATTTGCGTTTAAAGAAAAAAAAATACTGTAAGTGGGAGCAAACATAATAACAGATCTGTGTGTACGTGTGTGTGCGCGCCCGCGTGTGTGTGTGTCAAAACTAAATAAATGCAAAAAAAATTCCCACAACCTTATATTCACCTAATAAGTGCTTCTCCTATTTTGCCTTGGGAGTAAATTAATTTTATTATAAATGTACTTGTGTGCTCTTAAATATGCACGCCAATAAGAATAAAGTTTTGGCAACCATTTCCCTTCAGCGCTCGCCGCTGGTTTCCTTGATACTGGGATTATCTGAAATTGGTATCCTGGTCCTGTTGGCTTCCAGGCTGTTGTCACCGCTGCTTGTCGAATATGACCGGAACTGTCGTCTTTGATCGGCTCCTCGGCTTCCCGCTTATCAATCGTCGTATTCTCGCGGAACTGCACTGTGTGATTCTCGGCGGAATTTTTTTTTGAAACGAGTGCAATGAAAGAAAAAAAAATTCCGACTCTTACCATACCTCACACTTATCACCAAAACTGTTACGTATGGAAGATATTGGTAAAGAGGTGCGTCGCGAGAATGACCAACACTTGTTATTTCAAAGACCTTTATTCAAGATACCGTAATCATAGTCAAAGTAGCGCGTGTGTTTCCCTCGAAGGCTAGTCGTTTACTCCCTCGATAGACTCTCTCCTTGCTCGCGCTTCCCTTTTCTTGGTCCTAGAGCCCCTCGTTACGAGAGTTAAGGAGAAAGAGCGTGGAGTCTCACCTATACTTCCATACGTTATAGTTGCAAGACCGCTGTCGATTTTTAGTTATGTGTTAATTTCAGACTATAACTTGGCTTTTTTTCTAAATTGAAGGCAATACATAAGCTTAGTAATTATATTAAGCCTTATTTATGCCCTAATTCACAAGACGGCGGTACCTGTGCTGGAAACTGCCAATACTCTAGTTAGTGTAAGCAAACTAGATTTTCGACAGAGAAATCCAGACTTGGCCAAAAAAAATTACTTTGTATAGATCTCGAGCCCAACAACAAACGTAGCTACCTTTTAGACAAAAAAACTGTCAGTAAAGGGCCAAAAAAATGGTAAAAATTGCCAAAACAGGTTTTTCGCTTCTACCAGAAAAGCTGTAAATCGAACATAAAAACCTTCTGCACGAAAAAGATGCGCAATTTTAAGACGAACAAAATGAGTCCTGGTGGACCATAAATGGCTCTAAAAAAGTTGTTAGATCACATAGAGCCATTTATCGGAAAGACCTTTTTTTTAGTTTATTTGACGGATTGCAAAAAGTTTGCATCTGATCATCTTAAAATTTTTTAGGGTTGTTAGGAATCACAAAATCCATGGTCTTTTAAAATGTTAATTAGAACGCCAGTTACGAACTACTAAAAAATAGGGCGAAATTGGAACTTTTTGACAATTTGCGGGAAAATGGCAAGGCCGATTTAGGTCCACCAGGGCTCATTTTGTTCGTCTTAAAACTGCGCATCTTTTTCATGCAGAAGGTTTTTATGTTCGATTTACAGCTTTTCTGGTAGAATCGAAAAACATGTTTTGGCAATTTTTACTATTTTTTTGGCCCTATTACTGAGATTTTTTTTGTCCGAAAGGTGGCTACGTTTGTTGTTGGGCTCGAGATCTATACAAAGTAATTTTTTTTGGTTCGGTCTGGATTTTCATCAAGTAGAGGTAGTTTTCATCTAGTTTGCTAACCCTAAATTGTACTTCAAACGTATTGGTCGTAGCTTTTATGTAAATGCGTAGTATTTGTAGTAAATTTCGATATTTGCTTATTATTTTTATCATTTTTTTTTTTAATGTTGCCTAAAATGCTATGTAAACAATATAAAACAGTTTATAGCCAGAATATTATTAAAAAAGGATAATTTTGATGAAGGGGTAATGTTTCAATAGTTGGTGGAGATGTTCACTGGATCCCTTGCCAAGGATTTTCACATGAAAATATAATCAAATACATGGAACTTGTGAAGACTCAATCGAAAAATGGTTCTGACATAAGATTGCGCAAGTTTTGGCATACAGAGTTTCCATCTATCCAAGGACCATGGACACCATTTACCTTCAGGAATCCAAAATTGAATATTACTGAAATCTCGTCTGTAAGTTCAATTATGCTGCATTTAAAAAGTAATTTTTACTTGTAATCAAATTTTTTTTTTTCAATTTGCAGGATGAATTTAGAACGTGTAACAAAACAGGCGAAACAGCTTCGGAAGAAATTGTTAAATTGTTTATAGAACAGCAGCTCAATGATAAAACAGCAAAAAAACTACCCAAACAAACAGCTCAAAATTAAACTGTTTCCCTTTGTTTTAAATGTATTTTTTTGGACTCTTAATAAAATATACATTAAAACTAACAGTCTCTTTATTTTATATTTGCCAGTTAGTACAAAACGATATTAATGCTGACTTTAATTATACATTTTTTTTGTACCTTTATCTCACTGAGACAGTTTTTTAATATAATAATGTTTGAGCTATTAGTTAAAGTATTATTTTTTTTTTTTTTTCTTTCTTCTTTTTTAATAAAACATTTGTTGGTAAATAATGAACAGAATACATGGATCAAAAAGACCGACTAGTATATGGAAGAAGTACATAGTAATTGCTACGTAGCAACACCAAAACTGCTGTCTCAGAATTTGTATTTAATTCAGTACTAGTAGTAAGTACGATAAAAATGTTTCAGTGATTTCATTATTACAAAATAAATAAATAATGCTATGTTCAAGTGAGCCGTTTTTTTTTTTTTTTTTTTTTTTTTTTTTTTTTTTTTTTTTTTTTTTTTTTTTTTTTT